AGATGCCGAAACTCCTCTGAGCGCAGCAGAATTACCTCCCTGGGGCAGCTGCCCTCCCTTTCCTCATCCCCACCCAGCCGAGTACAGCAGGACGTACATATAACCCCTTTTCACCAGCTTTCTACTGCTACCAAGCCAGTAATGACTGCATCTCTGCCTCTTGAACCATAAACTCCAGGATGTTCATGGCCACTGAGAAAAATGTAGGCGTGGGGTGCCTGGGGCACCAGGCAGTGCATGTGTGGGTCTCACTGCCACTGCCTAAAGTCGCTCTGCTTAATGCTTGGAGATAGCTGCTAGGTTCTACGGTCCCAAATCACAGTCTCATATTGGTAGCTGTCACCATAGTCTTTAATGCTGGCTGGGAGTTAAAAAATGACAGCCAACCTAGCGTTCTTTCTCTGCGAAGAGGGCTGGGTCCTTGTTGGGTTTGTTTTGATTTTTTCATCACTATTTCGAGTGGGATCATTGCTGTGGGGGAGCTGGGCGAAGAAAGGATTTGCATGAAGCTTTCGGTGCTGCGGGGTTGCTAATGGCGAGCATTATTTCAGCTGTCAGTAAGTTTCATAATCTTGGCCCAGATCCTGTGAATATTCTGCTCCTCAGGGTCATGAGCCTCCTTCCCCTTCTCCCATCCCTTCCCCCTCTCCCCAAACTGGTTGGCAATTTCATTGTTCCAGTGGAATATATCCGTTATGTGAGGTCATCGCTGCATAAGGAGAGGTGATTGATTGCTTAGGTCACTGGGGCCTGTCCCATGCTGGGTTTTGAATGCTGGCTTGGAGACCTTGAACCGGACTCTGTGCTCAAAGGCGAGGCGATGTGGGGTGGAGAGGGGCACGGTGATGCATTCCCGGCAGCTTGAGTCGCCGAGCAAACAGACTGCTGCATTCTGAACTAGCTGGAGCGCTCTGAGAGCAGACGGCTTCATTCCTAAAGGCACAGTATCACAGCAGTCAAGCCCGAGATGTTACAAAAATACAGATAGATCATCATCTGCCAGCCAAGCCAGACAGAATCGGGTGCAACTCTTTTCCCATCCCTGGATGGAAGGAGACTCTACCCGCTTCTCACTAACGTGGCTTGTGTGTGCTCGGCTTCATCCAATTGCTCTTCAGTCAGAGCTGATCTCGGCTAGGCATCAAGAAAGCTGTGAGATTCTCAGATTTTAAGGCCAGAGGGACCATTTTGATCATCGAGTCTGACCTACAGCAGAGCACAGGCTCTGAATTTCACCAATTTCATTTCCTGCATCAAGCCCATAACTTCTGATTGAACTGTGTAGTGTCTCTTTTAGAAATATGGCCACGCGAAGGCTCCAGGCAGTAGGGAATACACCACCTGCCTAGGTGAATTGTGTTAGTGTGTGACCCTCTTTATTAATAGTATTGTTCCTCATTTGAATTTGTCAAACTTCAGCATTTTGTAACAGAAGGTTACAGATTGCATTTGATGGGAGGCAGCTACAGCGCAGGTATTGCCTGCACACGGCTGGCACCTCGGATCTTTTATTCCTGTGATGGCTTTTATGTTTGGATAGGATTTATCTTTGGGACCACAGTATGTAAGAGTCCTGGACACAGAGGAGGAGTTATTGGCAGTGAATCCTAGGGCTTCCCCGGGGCACGGTAGCATCGGAACTCTGGAGCTCAGGGTGTCACATTCAGAGTTTAGTCTGTGCTCCCTGCTCAGAGCAGGAGTGCAGCAGGTTTTGCTCCTAGCCATTAGTTAGGATGTAAATTCCCAGCCTCCTCAGTGAATCGGGATACATGCTTTGGGATACGACTACCGAGATCTGCTCTCTCACGTCCCAACAGCGGTGGGGCCGTGCTGCGGGAGTCTTACAAAGAGGGAGGAAGCGAAGCTGGGTCCCTGACACTGAGGAACAGCAGCAGGATCCGTGCTTCCATCCTGCAAATGCAATGAGAGCAGCTCCTAATAGATTAGCCACAGGGATCTCTGGTCTGGACCAGTAGTGGAGTCCATATGCAGTAGCAAAGAGCAGTGTAATTCTTACTTGTGGCTTTCAAGCACCAAGATTCACAAACTGAGCTCAATGAAGTGCCCTGGGGAAATAGCTTTGTCATTCACACTCTGTCATCTGTGCATCACAGGACTGGAACACTACGATGAAGGATCTGTACCTAGAGTGACAGTACACAGGTCCATCTTTGGACCCTGGGAGTAGCCCTGTCCGTTTTTATCACAATTAGACCTTGGAAACAAATCTGAAAGGAAGAGACATGCCATGTGGTACTGGTGCAGAAATCCAGTCTCTCTGCTATGGCATGCAAAGGCCTTTTGAATGGTGTAAGGTGCGTGGATACTGGGATTTATACGTCCAGGTAATAAGAGCGTTGGCATCCTCTTCTCCCCTCTGAAGATCTACCAGTTTATTGAGCATCCACACCCAGAGCTGCACACAGAACTAACGAAGGGCATTTGTTACACTTGCCCTCCGTGCTACAGGGTCTGCGCTCAGGACACAATCCCCACCGCTGGTGGCTAACTGCAGAGTGCCCTAGACATGCTGGTTTGTCCATAAGCCACAGGGACATCCATGCTCTGTTCTGAACATGAATACTCCATCCACAGTGGAGTCCAGCCCTCCCTGACTGGCATTTCCACCCAGAACATTCCTTTTCTTTCCTGGCATTCATGCTATGGGAGACACCTCTGTGCTTCTCCCAGCTCCTCCACAACCATGCCTGGGAGCGCAGGACACACTCTCAGTCTCTGGCCACGATACAATTAGCAAACAGAATGTGTTGACTGAGACTGGCTGACATTGCCTCATTCATGCACTCACCTGGAGCCACCTTTGGAATAGGTACTCCAGGAGTCACCTACTCTTCACCGCTGGCAGCAGGACCTGTGCACCACAGCGTCTCACACGCCATGTCCAGGCTGTCACTTCCACAGCGTTATGTGTAGTGCTGGGGCTCACTCCAGTTACAGCCATTACCTGCTCTGTAGGGCTGAGATTCAAACTACCAGCTGCACAAGTGATTCAGGTTTTGGCTCTGTAGGGTTTAGACTCTGGGAATCCATGGTCTGGGGTGCTGTTGCTGGAGCTCACAATCTCAGCCGAGAAATATAGCGAGGTCTCCATTATAAGACATCCCAAGAAGTGAGAAGAGCACAGCGAGCTGGGTGACCCAGCACACTGTGCAGCTACACCTAGGAATGTTTCTACTTGTAGAGCCATCTACATTAGGAGGAATGCTAGCAGTTACACATGTACCCCTAATGTACCATACTCCCCTGTGGACTGGCACTGAGGTCTATTTGCACCTGGAGAGATCTCCACTCCTGGGGTGGCACTGCCCACATCCACATCTCCTGCTGCCTGATGCAGAACAGCCTGCAGCCCCTGGGGACCAGAGCTGTAACCAAGAACACAGTGCCACAGGCAGAGCAGGCTCTTCACCCCAGGGAGTTACTGCCCCTTGGTGAGTTCCAGGCATAGCCCCAGGTTTGTGTGCCCTTTAGCCTGGGGACTCACACGGGGAGGTCCCCTCAATCCTTGGAATTCCCTCTCTTTTCAAAGTCCAAAAGAAATTCTGTCACGGATTTGTGTTGCCAGACATGATCTTCCACGGCATCGTGATCATAATCCAGATGGCCAAGATCTCGCCAGCCTCTAGCTTCGGAAGAAACTTGCTCCATTCTGTGGTCTCTCTGCAGAGCTGCATTTTAATACTAAGTCTCCTCTGAGGCTTAGAGGTTCAGGAGCAAAGTACAAAGAAATGCTGAGAATAGCTCCTCTTTTCTCCTCATCTTCATCTCAGGATCCCTCCAGAGACTGATCTTGCCCCGGAGGGAAGGGCAGGGCACTAGCCGACAATTCCCTTTTTCTGTGAACTTTGTTTAAATATTTAACAGAAAGAAACTAAAAATATCCCCAGTTAATGCAGCAGGAACTAGACAGCTACTCATTCGTGGATGCCTTTCCTCCCAGCCCCTCTTCTCAGGTATGAGTCCCTTTTCTACACCAAGCACCAGGCTCTTCCCTCAGCGAGAAGCCTCCCACTCAGGAGGGGCTGCAGTTTTAGTTCAAGGCATGGGCTGAGTAGAAAGGGGATGGCAGTAACCCCTTGGGAGCTGGGAGGTGCAACACAGCTGGCTGAGGGCTGGAGGTGCAGGGTTGGCCTCTGTGTTGACTCTCTCAGCCAAGCAGCCCTCTTTCTCCATCCTGGCAGACAGAGGAGGGCATGACTGTGGGTTGTCAGCATTCATGCTTTCCCCTTCACGATGAAGGAGTTGAATATCCTGAATGATTTTATTTTTTTTTTTTGGTGTGTGTATGCATGTGTGGTCTTTGTTGCAGAGAGGATCCTGGGTTGGGGACATAATAGCTGCCCAGGGAAGGGCTGGCGCAGCACTGTGCCCAGCCACGAGAAGGGGCAGACAGCATGAAGGGCAGCCATGCTACTGCTGGACTGATGCCAGTGGGTGGTGTGTGGCCAGTGCAGAAATCCAGCCCTTACTCCATGTTACTGCTGCTTCCTAGTGCTGCTTGGCCATGGGAGGCGGGAGAGAAAGAGAAGGTATAGGGAAGGAAGGGAGGGATGGGACAACGCAGAGGACACTAGGACAAGGAGCGTGGGAAGGTAATTCCATGTTAGCTAGGAAGAAAGTAATTACTAAATATTTGATAGGCATATTTTTGCACTTAAATTCTTTAGTGAGGCTGGACTTTTCTCGCTGATTCACTCTCTCTGTCTTCTTGGTTTATCACTTTCATGCTTCCCCTCTCACTTCCTCACTCTGGCACACAATGAAGAGGCTCTTTTTTAATAAATGGATTACATGCTCTACACTATAAATAAACACAGGAGTCAAGATTCCAACTTGTTCCAGTGATAAGCAAACAAAGATACCGAATCCCCTTCTCGGCCCTCAGACAAGAGAGTCCCCGGGGAAGCTGCGCATGTGCCTCTGCACATGTGGTCCAGAGATTGCTCCTTGCTTCTGTGTGCATATGCTAACGCGTGTGTTTCTGTGCGGTGTTGGGGTTAGGGCGACGATGCACCTCTGTGCAGGAAAGCACGCAGGCATGGGGGGGGACATGGGAACTGGAGTAGGTGCACGTGTGGGTGCTGGGCCAGGATCTCACCTGGTGGCTCACACTGCCTCCAGGTAGAGAGAGCGGTTGCTTCTGGGTGAGGGGACAATGACACCTCTCCCTTTTGGTTCCCAGTGAAGAAGATGAGACAGGATCCTCGCTGAGCAAAGACGCTGTTGCATCTGAGATGGAGCCCAGTGCCTGGTAGGTTCACAGCTTCCCACATTCACTGGTGACGCGGGAAGATGACGGGAGCATGGGTGGCAGGCTGCTCCCAGCTGTTCCGGGCTTAGCCTTTCGGCAGGAGGGACATTTCAGATAAAGCTCTCTTCTTCCTCCCGCCCACCCCGCAGCAGGATGCCTCCACTCCTCTCCTGCGTCCACTCCCTGCAGCTTTGGCATCTCCTCCTCCTGGTTTCAGCCGTCCCTCCTCCTGGAGTCTGGTCTCTTCGCTCTCGGGGCCCAGCGGCCGCTCGGCCTCTTTGCACCCGTCGGAGCCCCTCAGCCCCGCGGCCCATTTGCATCTGGGACAGGACCTCGCTGCTGGAGAGGGATTCTCGCTTCGCCCTGCCACGCCAGCGGGCCCTGGCACCTCGGGGGGCAGAGCTGCGGCATGTCGTGCGGCTGAGGCGCCAGGCAGCGGGGGCCCGCCCTGCCACCCCCTCCGGGTTTGAGGACGGCATGCCCTCCTCCCAGTACCCCTGGGCCATCGTGTGGGGCCCCACGGTGTCAGATGAGGATGGAGGGGACACCAACTCGGCCAACCCAGGCTTCCCACCGCTGGGATACACCTTTGTCTCACCACATGGGATGGCAACAGCACAGCCCAACTCCCACTCGCTCCTCCACAACGCAGGGCTCAACCTGCGCGAGACCCCAGCCACCCTGCGGCCCTTCTTGTTTGGGCCCCGGGGGGAAGGTAAATCTGCCCTTTGCTCCTTTCACACACACCCTGCCCTCGCTCCGTCCCTGCAGGAGCAGCTCTGCAAAATTCACAAGGGCCCCAGTGGGAACCTCCCCTTGCACTGCTGCTCTGCGGGGACCAGTGGCTGTGGCCATCACCCCCCCTTTCCCCCTCTGTCTCACAGGTGTGGACCCCCAGCTGTACGTCACCATCACCATCTCCATCATCATTGTCCTGGTTGCCACCGGGATCATATTCAAATTCTGGTGAGTGGAGTTTGGGCCAATGGAGACTGTCACCGCACTGCTGTCTCCAGGTGGGTGGGCAGGAGGACTGTGGGCTTGGAAACCATTTGTCCTAGGGGTAAGGATCTGATGCTGCAGGCTCTTGTGAGCTTGGCATGTGGCCGAGCCGGGCTCTAATGCTGAGCAGAGCAGGGTCTTACAAACCTCTCTGTCATCAAGGGCTGGGGCTTGTCTGAGGGAGTAGTCTTTACCTCCCCCCCTTGTTTCTCTCCAAAGCTGGGACCGTAACCAGAAACGCCGACGTCACTCGGGGCAGCAGAGCAGTGGGAGGCAGCAGGAGAGCCAGCAGCCCCTCACGGACCTCTCCCCCACCACCGTCAGCATCCTGGGGCCCTACGGTGACTCCCTGGCCCCCACGCCCGAGGTGGAGGAGTCCAGGCAGGGCCAGGAGGGTGTGGAGAAGCTGGGGGGCCACGGGAAGAGCACGGCCTTTCAGCTCAACCGGTGAGTGGCTGGTGAGGTGGGGCAGGAGGGTGTGGCTGGGGACAGGGGGACAGGCACACTGAGGCAGGGCAGAGGTGCCAGTTGGGTGATGGGGGTGGCAGGACAGCATGAGTGCCTGTTGCTAATTATTTTCTGATTCTTTTTTCCCCCTCAGAATCCCACTGGTGAACCTGTGACGCTGACGGGAGAAGCAGAGCTGGCTCCCCCCCACCCTCCTGTTACAGCCGGCGAGTGCAGACTCCCGCCACCTCTGCTACCCCAGGATAAAATGACCTCCTTGTGCCACGGCCCACCACCACCATTATTAACTAACTCCACCAGGATGTGCCTGGGCAAATGGATGAGCTGGGCCTCCTTAGCCTCCTGCTGGGGGAAGGTTGGGGACCCCCCTCCTGCCCATGCAGGACAGGGTGATGAGAGAGCAGGATGGTGGGAGGGAAGACAGCTGGTGATGGTGTGAAATCTTGGCCTCCCCGGCCCCTCTCCTAGCACACATGCAGACACACACACACACACACACACACACACACTTGGATCTCTGTGACTCTCTCACCAGTGCATGCCTGACATCAGGGGTAGGCAAGGTAGAAAGGCGTACCCCTGTCCCTGTGGGCCCTAACCCCTCTGTGTGTCCCTTTCCATGTCGTGTGCTTTGAAGTGAACGTCTGGTTTAATGGCTGCAGGATTGCACGCCCAAGCTTGGTCTCCCTTGAGCCACAACTCAGGTGGTGACAGGTTCTTCTGTTCCTGACACCTTGGCCCTCCCGAGGGTCCCAAGGGTGGGTGAAGCTTGGGCAGAAGAGGCTCACATAGCACCTGGGCCCCCTCAGCAACCCATTTCCTTGAAGGAAACATTGTCTCCCCCTATAGATGGAAGATATTCACATCTTTCCATTTTCTTTCTGCCTAACACTCCTCTGTTTTTTCTCTTCAGCTTATATCTTTCTTCATCTCTCCATTCCCAATTTTTTTCTCTAAGTTCCTCCACCTGCCACTTCTCTTGCCAGTTAAAATTGGAAAAGGTTCCTTTAGCTTTCCAAACATTTTGATCTCTTGGAAGTCTCCTTGCTGTCCCGCTCCAACCCCTCTGTCTCCTTCAGCAAGGTTTTCCTGAAGAACATCAGTTTATGGTAATGTTCTTTAGAAAAATCTGAAGTGAAGCCCTCAGCCCATCATGTTATGTAGCAAGTGTGTTGTATATTGGGATGCTGCCGAAGAAACTAAAGCATGTCATGCAGATATAGGTGGGCACGAGGAATCTGAATTCTGCTAGGCTGAGGTAGGGAATTGTTTTCAGACACTCATGCCACAGGCAATGAGCAGCAGACATGACTGTGTGCCTGGGATGACAAAGAGCAGTTGGCCTTGGCAACATTTGCAGGGTTGCCATGTACTGCTGGTAGGTCTCTCCAGGAATGCAAGGTGACTGGAGACCCACAAGGCAATGCTCACCATGGGTATGAGAGAGGGGTATCTGGGGTGCCAGCCTTTGTGAGTGTATTGTCCCAGCTGGTTGGGGACCAGAATCCCACAGGCGTCAGTGCAAACTGGTTGCCTGAGCACATACTTTGGAGCTGTGGGGGTCTGTAGGGCAGGCAGCCACACTGTCAGTTACTTGTGTGAGCAAGATCAGTGTGTTTCAACCTCTTCCTATGTGTGGACCTATGGGTGTCACTCTGAAGAAGTGTGAAATGGCAAATTTCAGCTTAATGACAATAGTTGCCCTCACTTGTTTTTTTGTGGACACCTTCAAAGTAATTCACACACCCCACATTGACAGCCGCCCAAGCTGAAATGATGGAGATTTAGATAAGGTTGCCCCTACACCATACAAACACCTTCAGCTGTTGGATTGATGTGGCTGGAGACAGGAAACTCACCCACAATTTGAAGGCCCTAATGCACCATACAAAGTCTCTGACAAAAGTCATGTTGGAGAAAAGGAAATGGCTCTTTCATCCTTTATCTCTGCAGTAAAATCCTATTCTTTATAGGACAAAGCACAGGGAATTTTGCAAAAGGCCTGGTTCTGGCCATTTACCCAGCTGAACTAGGTGATCTGGGGTCCCATCTGACTCACGGTTAAGGACATTTAAATGAGAGTGTAAATTGCAATAAGCTTCACAAAAAAACAGTAGAGATTTGGAGAAAATGACAGGTCAAATAAAATTACTGGCTTATTAAAAGCACAGAAAGGCTGAAAGATGTAGGTGGAAAAGGACTCTGGAGGTCTCTAGTCTAAGCACAGGTTGAGTCTCTGCTTATAGCAGGGGATATTATTGCTTTACCCTAGATCAATTTATTACCAAGCCTTTTCCTTGTTCAGGATCCATTCAAGGCTTTGGTGGACACTGAAGCTGCAGATATGGCTGTTCTCCCTCATGTTGACACATCAGCGCTGGGGAAGGACATCTGTGCACAGCTTGCGCTGCTTATTGCTGGTAGTTTACAATAAAATGCCTTGAACCGGTTTAAGTAATCTTCCAGACCAGATTAATTAGATTACTTTTTAATCAATAGTGCTTATTGAAACAAGGCCAGAGTTTAGATTCTACCACTTCAAGGGCTGTCCTTGGACTTTCCACACGCTGAGTGGAGAGAAGATCTGTCAGAAAGCGGCAGGACTCCGCAGGAGGCGTAGTGAAAGCATGTTGCGACACCTGATGCAGGGAAGCCCTGTGCTCTGCTGGCCAGGCTTTTGTAAACTCTGCAAACATGATCTTGGTGTTCTGGGTTTTTTTTCCCCCCTTTAACGTGTCTCTGTTTTTGTTAAAAGTATCTCCAGGGAACAAAGCCTTTTACAGTTGCTGTGGGAATGGGGAAGGTGGGGAATGCAGTAGAGAAAACTCTTACAATGAAGCTTGGATACGCTGAACATCTTTTCCAAGACCAATTTTTCCAGCCAAATACATTTTTATGACAGTAATTCACTCTCTCATGCAAAACAGGTTACATGTGGGAAACAACTTCATTGTCCTGCCCAAATTTTCATTGCTACATTTTGTCCCTGGAAAAAAAACATTCAAAACACATGTGGACACACAAGCTTCTTCCAGTCAATAAATAACCTTACTGGATCTGTTTTCTCCATGGCTGGAGCCTTATAAACCATTTTCCCCTATGCAGACTGGAGCCAGAGCATGCCTGCAGTCTCTTCCCTGGCCCGGGCTAATATTCTGTGAGATGTTCACATGGATGGGTTGACAGCACCAACTACCAAGCCAGGACAGAGGTCGGCACCTTCTCAGTCACAGCCCATCAGGTTCCCCTGTCTTCAAGGTGACTGGAGGAAAAAGAGCTGGATCAATTTTTTCCAGTGGAGATTTTACAGAGAGAAAGGTGGGGGGG